TCTTTCCCTTGGGTAGGTGTGGTGGCTTTTTAGATTCTTAGTCAACTCTTCTTCAGCATTTCCCAGTCTTTCCAGATGGCTTCTCCTTCAAGAGGGTGAGGGATCTGGCTGGCTGGCTCAGAGAGATCATTGCCTGGTGGTGATCACAGAACAGCCCACAAAGCCTAGCTTCCATCCTCCAGTCCATCCACTCTCTCTTGGAAAAGGAGCTCCAGATCTTGGGATGGCTGCAACAGCTCTGGGAATGGCAAGTTGCCCTCTCTCACCCAGTTTCTGTACATGCTCCCAAGCTGGGTCCTCATCGCCCTCCAATTCCTTCTCCCAGGCATCACAAGGCACCACAGCCTATGTCTTTGTCAGTTTTGTACCAGGGTCCAGTGTCTTCAGCACAGTATTATGTGCCCCAGACTTCCTTCCTTCACCATCTCACAGAGAGCAGTGTTAGCATATTGGTCAGGGAGATGCTCCTACTGGGATGCAGGCATGCTAGTTAGGTCACATTTCTTTCCCTTTGTGGAAGTTTCCTTTGCTTCCTGCTTATCCCCTGAGTTCCCAGCACACTGCTGGCAATTAAAGACTTCTCTGCACTCCCTTTGCCGCCCTGGCTGAGTATGTGCATGTACTACCTGTGCCCTTTTTTGGCTTTTGAGCAAATGGTTTCCAGCCACAAGGTTGGTGCCTGGTGACTCCAGGCATTTCTGCCAGCCTGGAGACCTTTTTCTCCTTTTTTTTCCCTTTTTTCTAGCTCTGCTCCTGGGCCATGCAGGCCTATGTGGCGCCCCCTGCTGAAGGCTCAAGAGACCCTTGGCCACTCCAGCTTCCTGCAGTCTCTCTGCTCCATCCCCGTTTGAGGCATTGACTGGGACAGGGGGTCCCTGCTTGGTAAGGGAGCTCCTGGCAAGCACCACAAGGCCCTCTCACCCCTCACCACCCTCTCTGGTAGTGGACAGACCAGCCAGGTCTGGGAGCTCTGAACCCCCTGGAGGTGCTTGCTGCGGACCTGTGGATGGCTCCTGGCCTCAGGGAA